ATGTATATTGATTAGATAATTGTATATTATACATATGTAATTATATATATGGAAAGAGAGATTGGGAGAGGAAGGAGAGAGGCGAGCGAGACTGAAAGAGAGAGGAGAGAGACGAGCGAGAGAGGGCATAAAGTGGGAGAGAGGTGAATTTTATATGTATATAATTGTATATAACTATATTATACATATACATTTGTATAAATGGCAAACGAGATCGGGAGAGGGAGGAGAGAGGCGAGCGAAATAGTTTCACCTAGGCAAAAAGTGGCAACACAAACCCAATTAACACATGTAAAAATCTCAATTGAAAATATAAACTAGAACACATAACTTCACTCTTTAAAAATCGATAAAAATATACATTTAAAAAGAAAACAAAAAAAATGTGTCAGCAAAAAAAAAGAAGCCAGGTAAATGAAAATCAAAGGTAAGACAAACCAAAGTGTATGTATATACACATTTAATTGTGTTAGCAGTAAAATATATTTCTCAAACTAATAAGTGATAATTTTAATATTTTCAGAGGAAAGAAGATCACATATTTCATAATAAGAGGAAAAAACAGTTTCCTATCAAGAATGGACTAATATATTTGGGATAAAGATTTGCAATTCAGATATTAAAAAAAATAAAAAAAAGTACAAAAAGAAAATGAAACTATCAAGGAGATGTTCAGATGCCAACAAATCACATTAAATAATTTAATTCACAACCCTATCTAACATATACATAAACATTCATAAAGTAGATAGCTTTTATGACCTTGTAAATGATAAGAGATCTGATGGAAATGTAAACAAATCTTTCTACCAACTTTGGATCCTTTTGATAAAGTGTAACTATTAGAATAATCAATAATATAATTTTTTTGCTGAACACAATAATGGAATGTGAAATTTTTTAACTCCTAAATCTATAACTGTGTATTTGGTACCATAGAAAAACTTTCTGATTATTTTTCTAGAAAATATATACATAAATATTATTTTTTTTGAAAAAGTAGGTTGTTTCTTATTTATTTTCTTCTGTTTAATAAGTAAAAAAAAATAGTAACTCAAAAAAATTTATAAGTAATTTAGCAAAAGCCTATAAGGGTGAGAGGTAAGTGGGGTAGGCCTCGGAGGTCAGAGGCGCACCCGGGAGGAGATCACCGGATTCACGTGAACTCATGCTCCCCTCCTGAAATTATATATATAGTAGTGTTAGATTTTTTTAAAAACATTTAAATATAGATATGTGAACCGACACTTGAAGTATCATATAATGTTATGCAATCATGATTGGACGCACCTCTCTAATTGAAGTTAGAAATTTGAATCTTTTATTTATCTCGTTCTTATTTACTTTCTAAAATTGGGTAACATTCTCTCTAAATGATTTTGATAGATAAAAATAACTGTGGACCTATAATTTTAATGACTATTAGTGATAAGAACCTAAATGTTAAAACAATCAGATTTATATCTTAGATTTACTTTTTTGTATTAGTGCACCTATCATCTCAAAATCATGAATAGCGGAGACAATATAATAAGGTGGCCCAACAACCTCGTGAACCAGAGCATGAACAATATAATATGATAGCTCAACATTGATGAATAAGAAATTGGAATAAGTCTGACATGATACCATGAAAATATATATTTTAGGTCTAATTTAACCTCAAAACTAACTTATTAGTGAAAGATTGTTAAAATTCATATAAAAGACGAATTCTTCATTTTTTTTTCGATCTGAAAATTCCTAACAAAGGGGTAGGGGCATTCGATAGGTGGGTTGATGCAATTAAACATAGAAAGTCACTTATAAAACTTATTTTCGTTGTTTCTATTAACATAATTATTTCCTACTCCAAAAAGTCTATCCATCCAAACATGAAAAAATAAAAGAAATTTTCTTTTCTCCATTTCAGACAGAATATTGGAAGATTTTTAGTACTTTTCCATTTCCTCTTACCCCACCAAGACTTAAATTTTATTTTATTTTTCATTTTCCTGGAAACTTGTAAGATTATTAGACATCTGGTACAGAGAATCTTATCAACTCAGTTGTTTATAAATTCCATGACCCCATTTCACTGACTGATGTGATAATGTAGCTAAAGACAGTACACATATCATTATGGCATCTTTCTACCATATAATTTGCTTTACAAACAAAAATAACAAAATCATATTATAAACTTACTGACTCGACTAATTCAGATAACGTGAAAATTCAAAGAACTACATAAATATATTCATTCTTTTCTTTTATACAAAGCACACATTTTTCAAGTTACTTCCAATACAGATTAAGGGTACTACAACCATTTCGCCTTTCAATGACACAACAAATTATAACTAAAACATGAATGGCTATTCTCCATTAAGCTTGTAAATAGTACCAACAACAACAATATATTCAATGTAATTTCACAAAGTACGGTCTGGAGAGTGTAGAGTGTACACGGAAGGTAGAGAGGCTTGCATATAGTATCCGGAACGCATAAATTCTTGAACCCTCATTTGCATGTGTTGATGGAATAATCTCACAAACATGTTGTATAAATCTTCACTTTTTGTAACCTATATAGAATGAGCATAAAAAAGGGAACATTTTGTGGACTTGCTGTACAACTGAACTCAGAACTCCTTCGACTGTGGGGAGGGAGCACTTTTTGAAAGATGGGGATATCACCGCGTGATAACTCCCCAAACATGTGAACTCACTCAGTGCTACGATGATCTATGCAACTTACTCCCCATAGAAACAGAAAGTGTATCCGGTTGACGATTTGAAACATTTCAAGGTTCTGTTTTCATTTGGTCGGGTGGCAAAGAACCTATAAGTACAGAGATTTTGGTGATTATCAGGGTAGCTGATGCCTACTTCAGAAAGAAAAATTTATGCAGGATAGTGTAAAACACTTACTTAAATCCTGGCAATCGAGGGGTGCAGTTGAAGTGAATCCCATATCCACAACATTATGCAGCTGATCATCCCATACACTAGGTACCTGAAGACGATATGAATTGCAAGGCAAATGGTTAGAACATGAAGCAAGGTTCCTTTGGTTCACAACTCATTATGCCACGTATTTTTCCTATAACTTTGACAAAATCAAGGGCAAACACACAATGGTGCCTATAGATTCGGAAAAAACTAGTATCTTTGGCTCAAACCCCGTATATGTGTTTAAAATCCATTTATCACAAAAAACTATCAAGAACTTTGGTTCAGAATCCATAAACTAAAAATCCTAGCTCCGCCTCTGTGATCGATACAACCTAAAACCAGAAACGTGTAGCTATCCAAATACTACCTGAGATGAAGGATCTCTATAGCCACCACTCATAGAGGAGAGTTGGGTGTTGGATCTACGGAACGCATCAATGTAATTTCCATCACCAGGAAGACCTGATTGAAGCAGACCAGATTGCCATCCATGCAAAGAAGCATAAGTCATGGTCATATTATCAGGTGAAAACGCAAGTGCGGACGAAGGACCTGCTTGTGACTGCAATAAAAGGCAAATGTATATACCAGCATTAGCAGCTGGAATTTATGCACCGAACTCTGCTTTGTGTAATTTTCGTTCTGAAGGTTATAGTAGTTCTTACATCTTTTGTAAGGACCCCATCAAGATTAAAATCTAGCCTTGGGTTTACTGTTGAAAGCTTCATCGAGAGGAACTGCGAGAATAACAAGAGTCATGATATAAGCACATAAGAGCAATGAACAGCATTTCTTGAACTTTTTCATGACAATTACTTCAGCATTAGATTAGAAAATAGGAGTAAGGGGAGGGAATCGTTTAATCCTTTACAATGAATAGCATATTGTGAAGCAATCGAAAAATTCACATGGCATTGAGGGAAGAACAGATACGATTTCGAAAAAATGAGCCAGCAATTTATAGCTTTCATACCTCAACCTGTCTTTGCAAAGATTGAACATAATTAATGATTTCGTCCAGCATTACAGCTTTACCAGTGACCTGAAAATTTAAGCCCGAGATAACATGAACAACAAATGCCTGTTAGAAGTTCTCCATATGTATAATGATAAAAACTAACCTTGTCACAACCAGGTACAAGATCCTGCAGAAATTTCATCCTTTCACTTATTTTCTCTCGCCTTACCTAGAATCACCACAACGCAAATCATTTCTGGAACAAGTAAAATCCCCTAACTTAAAGCTTCTACTATGAAGTCTTACTCTTTCTGCAAGACTATGGCTGTTCGTCGCTTGGCCTCTTCGAGCTCGAACATGTATGTAATCTTCTTTAGGTGGATCTGAAGACTGAGACCTCTGTTTACTGTTTTTTCCGCCATGCTTGCTAGAAGGTGAATGTAAGCGTCCATCTCCTTTCTGAGTTTCAATTAGTTCTTTATCAGGTTCAGCTGGCAGCTGTTGTACTCGCTTCATTCGATCATGCTCGGTACCCTGACAAAATTTATAAGAACACTCAGCAAAGAATCATTATGAGCTATAGTGGTGGAAAGAGACATACTAACGATGTCCTACCTGACTATATTTTTTCCTTTTCCTTGAGCCAAGGCTCTTCGGGGAAGATTCCAGTCCGGCACTTCCCATTTCCTCTTGACGGCCGCTACATTCAGCTTCATCAGACTCATTTCCAGACAATCCAACTGATTCTTTTCCTTCATCCCGAGACCTCGCAAATATTTCATTCTTCTTCTCAATCTTGAGAGGGCTTTGCTCATGAGTTTTGTTCTCATGAGGTAAAGAAACATCTTTGGAACCATCAACACCACTTCGTATGTTCTGCTTCCAAGGGTCCACAGCAGAGGGTGAGTTTAACCCGCTGCTTGCAAGAACCTCTTCGGTTCTCCACGTTGGTGCCGGTCCCCTATAACAAGGCTTAGTAGACTCAGGGACGCTTAAAGGCCGGTTCATCATATCATTGAAGTTTCCTCCACTGAAGCACGAAAACCTTGCAGCTCTCTCAATGAAACCCAAATCAGCTGGAAGCTGAGCTAAGCTTTGAGGAATCATTCCAGGAATAGGTGGTACAAACATAGCCCCTTTCAGCATCGAATTCAGTGGATTCCAACTCATACTACCTCTCGTAGGGACCGAGCCAATTGCTGCAGTCTCGTGCTGATTCATAATGCAAGGACTGATTTGAGCATTAGCATTATTATTACCATAGAAACCTAAGTGTGACGAATTGGGAGGCCGATCCCAAATAGTGGGAAAAACTGAATCTACTAAAGGATTGCTATTAGGGATCATCCCCATTGATGCATTTGTCAAGTTGCTTCCACTTAATTGCCAGTCCAACGATATGTTTGGTGACTGAAAATTAGTAGCATCCTTGTTCCTCTTTTGTCCTTGAGTATCATTCTTGCTACCCATATCCATTATTTGGGAAATGAATCAAACTTAAACTAAAAAAAAAAATCCCCTTGCCTCAAGATTAACAATCTATAAGATACACATCAAACAATTGGCCACTTTCAAAGATCCGACGAGAGGGATCGATTGTTCAGCTGGTGAAATGCCTCCACTTCATTACACATCCATACAGGTAGAGAAATTGAAGGAACAAGATTATAGTTTTGTGCCTAAAGATTAAAAAATAATTCAAAAAATCTAGTTCAACAGATGAAAATAAAACTAAGAAAGTAACTACACCAGAAAATTTAGGAGAATTCCTCCAACAAGCTTGGTAAAAAAAAGCAGACAGAGAAACCAGTCAAGCTACCTGCTCCCAAACAACTGGAGAAGAGGTAGCTAACAATACCCCAGTTCAGTACACAAGGGAGAAACAATGTTCCAAGCTTTGTTTCAAATTTACCAAGAAAAAAGTCACCAATGCCCAAGAAAACACAACCCCTGTTCAATTCACATAAAGGAAGAACCAAAGTACCAAGCTTTGCTTCAAATTACCCGCAGAAAAAAATAAAAGAAAAAAAGGGCCACTAATGTCCAAGAAAACACAATCCCAGTTCAATATACTCAAAGGGAGAAACAAAGTTCCAAGCTTTACTTCAAAATTACAAAGAAAAGTATCACCAATGTCCAAGAAAATATCATCCCAGTTCAATATGCTCAAAGGGAGAAACAAAGTTCCAAGCTTTGCTTCAAAATTACAAAGAAAAGTATCACCAATGTCCAAGAGAACACAACCCCAGTTCAAATCACACAAAGGAAGAACTAAAGTTGCAAACTTTGATTCAAAATTACCAAAAAAAGAAAAAAAAGTGCCACTAGTGTCCAAGAAAACACAATCCCAGTTCAATACACACAAAGGAAGAACCAAAGTTCCAACCTTTGCTTCAAAATTACCAAAAAATTAAGTGCCACCAATGTCCAAGAAAACACAATCCCAGTTCAATTCACACAAAGGGTGAAACAAAGTTCCAACCTTTGCTTCAAAATAACCTTAAAAAAAAGTGCCACCAATGTCCAAGAAAACCCAACCCCAATTCAATTCACACAAAGGAAGAACCAAAGTTCCAAACTTTCCTTCAAAATTACCAAAATAACACAATCTCAGCTCAATATACACACAAAGGGAGAAACAAAGTCCCAAGCTATGCTTCAAAAAAAAAATTTGAAGCTCCACCAATGTCCAAGAAAACACAATCCCAGTTCAATAAATGTTCAGAAGTACAGCAAATTGAAAATAATGAGAAACATTAATTTGAGCATCATAAATACTCACTCAGAGACTCAACTTCCTAAGCCCAGCTCTGAAACTGAGAAGGACAAGACCCAAAAGTAGCAAGAAAAGAAGAAAGATACCTTATTTTGCTGTTACTCTGTAGTCTGTACACAGTACACACTTTTTTTCTTTTTTTTTAAATGTTATACAATGTCTTTTTTGTTGTTATTTTTAACTTTTTGAATTTTTCAAAGTGCAATGTATAGTAGTTAGTATAAGGAAGATTATAGGAGAAACAAAACAAACAGAAAGTAATAAAGATAGAGTCACAAATATTGGAAAAGAGAGAAGAGTTAGGTATTTGAAGGAACTAAAAAAGAAAGCTTACATACAAAGGTTCTCTGCATTTATACCCACGCCTGCATCAAAATATGAGCTTATTCATCATTAACCACCCCTACTGTTAATATTAAATTCCCTAAATTTTTCTAATTATTTGTTCACTCTCAAAAATAATGATTGTTACTGTCATATTCTAATAATATTTGTTTATTATATTAAAAATAAATATTCAACAATAATAATTTTATACTTAGCTTATACTCGTCTGTCGTTAATTATTTGTTTTGAATTAACAGATTTATTAAGAAATTAATAATTGATATAATGAATTTATTATTTTATCCTAATTAATTATAAAATGGATGAATTAAAAATTAGTTCTATTATTTTTAAAGTAATTAATTGAGGGTGTAATGAATAAAAAAATTTGTAACAAATTTTCAGGAACCACTGAAAAAGAAAATGTGGACAAGTAATTAGGGATGGAGTGAATAATTTATTTTATTCATTAATTATAATAATTTTCAATTACATTTTTCAAGACATTATATTTATTATATTGAAAAGATGATATTGTAAAATTACTCTTTTATTTATAATTTTATCAAGTTAATAGTGGACAACTACTATTAAATAGAGGGAGTATCATTTTACTTAATTATGAAGTAGATGAATTAAAAAATTAAAATTTTCAAAAAAAATTTACTCTTTTCAAAACTGATTAATTGGAGATATAAAAAAGTTATCATTTTTATATTTATCAAATTAAACAAATAATTTCTTCAATTCTTACATATTATCACATTTTATTCTTTTTTATTCTGTCAAAAAGAAATAGTAAGACTTATCATTTTTTTATTTTTACTTAATTTTTATAGCATGATTTCGTAGTGTTGAACAGTTGAACAGATCCCATATTAATATGGTGTATTTAATACTTTATCGGTCATTAATTGGTTGTTCACTTTCTCTTTTTTAATTATTTTTAATTATGTTGATTTTAATAGATCGAGATAGGATAATTTTTTATCTATTGTAGCTTTATTTAGTTGTTTGGAAAATGAAAGAAACTTTTGAAAATCTTAATATGAATAAAATAGTAAATTTTTTATATCAATAATTATTTTTTAATAAATGTGTCAATTTAAAAGTGAATAGATAATTAATAACAGAAAAAATACGGATTAAGAATAATTTTCATCTCCTAAATTAATTTTTAAAATTAAGTTAAATCTAAAAATTCACATATTTTTTATCTATAACCATACAAGCATATATACCATATTTTAGATGGTGAATTTTCTCGTTCCGCCACCAATCAAATGTAAAGAACTCAAACTAACGCATAATGATAATATGATATGATACAATAAATATTATTATTGAGTAAGAATGAAACTTAAAAAAATAACTTGAATTGTGTGAATCGCTTAAAATATGAGTATTAAAAGGTTGGGAAAATGCATAAGTATCCACTCAATTTATGTCTGAAATCTCAGAGACACACTTATACTATACTAAGGTGTTATTACCCCCCTGAACTTATTTTATAAATAATTTTCTACCTCTTTTCGGCATACGTGACACTAGTTTGAAAGAAAATATCAACATACTCTAGACCCACAAGATAGTGTCACGTAGTACGAAAAGGGGTAGAAAATTATTTATAAAATAAATTTATGAAAGATAATAAAATCTTTAAATAGTATAAATATATCTTTAAAATTTCGAACATAAATAAGGATACTCGTGCATAATCCCTTAAAAAATTTACTAAATGAATTTGTGATTGGTTCATGTCACATTTATGTTGTAGGGACAATTTTAAGAAATATCTTCAATAAATCGCCCTTTATAAAAAAAATATGGAAAGAAAATTATCGTCTTTACGTCCTTCAATAATCATAAATGAAAATACTCCTATCGACATACTTATTAGCCACTGTTTTTTTAATTGTCTCTAATTGTTTATTAATATTGATAATTTAAAAAGAGGTAAAAATATTTTATATATTTATTTTTAATTAATTACTTTAAAAAAGATAGAATTTCTTGAAAATTTTAAATTTTAAATATATCCAATTCATAATTAATAGAGAAATGATAAACTTATTATGTCAATTACTGTGTCTTAATAAATGTGCCTATTTAAAAATAAATAAGTAATTAAAAACAAAAAAAATATATTATGAAACTCATAAATATTATTGGGGAAAAAATCATGTAAAATGTGATTAAAAAAAAAGAGAGAATAATTAAGAAAGATACTTTTTTTTTAATGTAAAAAGACTTGGTTTCCAAAAACAAAACTATCAAAAATGGTTGGTATACGAAATGGTGGTCCCTAAGACTTCGTTACACAAATATTTAGAACTAAGTAATAATTTGAAGCTCGTAAGTACGAGATTTTAGTTTATTTAAATTAGATATAGTATAAATATATATTTAAATTTGATCATAGCTAATAGTAAGGATTTTATTTTGAATATTATAATTAGATATTTTTATTCGTCTTTAATGCGTATAAATACTTTAATTTACAAAATAATTATCTGAACACCTTCAAAATCTATTTATCAGGTTGGCGTTAAATATCCAATAGACACAATAGGAATGAGTTGGATAATTGAAGACAAGTTGTTAATATGTCTATATAAGTATACTCACAACTGAGAGTTTACTTATCAACTAAGATCAATTTAAGTATTTATTTATGTTCTATTGCCTTTTATTATGTTTTAAATTAACAATGGATACATATTTTATGAATTTTTAAGATCAATAGAACAAAAAAAATTGTAATTCTCTTAGCTATGAAAATGAAATTCTCTTATAAAAATAATTATAAAATTAACCAAAAAAATGTAGGTGACTTAGAACATATTTTTTCTCTCGCAATATTTCTTTTTTTAAAAGAATTTAGGGAAAATGCATAAGTTTTCTATCCCTTTTTAGCTTACGTGGTACTAGTTTGAAAAAAAAAGGCAATTATCGTTGAGCCCACAAAATAGTGCCACGTAAATTAAAAAGGGGTAAAAAGTTATTAATAAAATAAGTTCAGGGGTAATAGGACCTTAGTATAGTATAAATATGTCTCTGAAATTTTGGATTTAGGTTGAGGAGGTACTTGGGCATTATCCCAAAATTTATAATATCCCTCCTATAAACATAAGGAGTAAATAAGTAATCTTTCTGTCAAATAATGCAAATCGAATCAAAAGTTTGGTATTGTCAGAAACTTTTAAAAAGCTTGATATATCATATAGTATATATTAAGTCTAAGGAAGTTATCGTAAGTACTAAAGTAGTTCCACTAGAATATCATTCTTGAAAATTTTGAAAAAGTATTTTTTTTGAATTTTTATTTGATATTATATTAAAATTCGATAAAATTTAAATTTATATGAAAAAATTAAATTTAAAAACTAGCACTTCTAACAAAAATAACCCAATGAAACTCAAATTCAATTTTTTGAATAAAAATTAATAGTTATTACTTTATCATAATTAAACTACTATATATATTTTCTTTATGGTAAAAATTATTTTTCTTATTCGTTATCTTTTTTGTGATACGTTATGTTGTAAAATTACCTTCTTAAACGCAAGAGAAATTAGGAAACCATAGGCTGTAATATAATTAAATTGCAAAAACAATACTACTAATTAAATGGATTTTGGCCTATATAAATTGCTATATATGGATTACTAAACAACTATCTTTTTCATTTTAATCCAAAACAATACAATATTAGAGTTGAATGATAACTCATCTATAGTTTTGTTACAAATACAAATGACTAAAATTGCTTGTCACATATCTATGGAAATTATCTCTCTCAAATTAATAAGTACATAATATTGTTTACAAATAATTTTTCATTATCTTAATATAATTACCTATTTTATAAAGTTACCTTACGAAGTTACTTTATCATAAAATAATTGATATAACATGACATAAAAGAACAACATAATATGAGTAAATTTTAAGTTTGTGTAGAAGGCTAACTAACATTTTTTTTTTTTTAAAAAAAGAAATTTTACTTCGTGTATTTCGTCATCAAAATAATAATAGTCAATAAATTTATATATATAATAATAATATTTTTCTATTAATATAATTATTTTTAGTCGATCGATTAAATGTGTGAGTTGCCCTCTCCATTTTATTTTCGAAGTTGACTCATGTTTAAAAATGCTTTTAGACATAATTTATTATTATTATTATTAAATAATACTCTAGCAATTCTATTATTTATTAATATATGCTGATGGACTGTCCTTTTTTGCTCTCTCTCATGGAGTGATTATTAGCTGGCCTTGGTACTTGAAATCACAGACCTAATTTAACCTTAAAATAATGGAGATCTCTTTTCACACTTTACTAAAAAAATTCCTAAATAATCTATCCTTAAGCTTAAAGAATTATTAAAACTTGAGTAATAAAATAGGATGGGTCAGAGGAGAAAATGATTTGCATTGATTGGGTTGGTTTTAATATATGTTAGTATTAGTATTTAGTTTTTATTCGATATTTTATATTTATATTAAAATTTAATTAATTTAAATTTAATGTTTTGTAGAGTTTTATTTAGTAAAGTGCTATTTATGTATATATGATTCTTTTATATTTAGGATTGGAATTATTGAGCTTTTTTTAAGAAAAAAGTATTAGATTCAATAAATCATACCCGTCGGTGATATGCGTTAATATTTTTTTAACTTAATTTTAACTGATATTTATAATCTTTACTTTTAAATTTACATAAATATACACT